AAAATACTGTGGTTCTAATTTCGTACTTTACGCTTATTTCAAGTGAAAAGATACAAGAACACTGTTTTCGATAATTATCCACATAACTATGATTATTATGAAGGTTGTTTCGAAATTCGTTATCACTTGTACAGACACACAAAAATTGGGATATCAGAAGTGAGATACGTAAGGTAATTACATTGAAAATCGGGTGTAGGAGGACCTGGTGCATCAACAAGGTTAGCTTCGCCAGCTATTCATCAAGTATATCTAAACGATAGTTTCAAATTTGAAAACGAAGCATTTTATACATCTTGATATGTATAGAAAGTTGTTTATTCTTTTGTCGGTTGATGACACCGTTACTCTTTGCGAAGTCGACATCAGAGCTGTAAAATACAGTGTTTGTATTCGATAAGTACATTGTATTGCACTGATTTGGAACTACGCGTAAACGTAACAAAAACGATAAAGACAATATGTTTTTGTCAAAAAGGAAGTTTACTGCTCAAATTGGTTCTTTTTTAATTTCTCAATCAAAATATTGAGATCAAAGATTTAAATATTCCGTTGATAAATTTACAATTATAAAAACTGAAGTTGTAACTTCCTCAAGTAGAGTTGATCTTAGATGGATTTTAATGTCCCTTTTAGTCATCAAGCTCCTCAAGTATTCAAGTATTTATACATCCTTGGCTTTCAGAACATTTCTGTAAAGCGTTCGTAGTGAAAATAAATTAAAAAAGGCGCTTAGGACGCACAAAAGTTTTAAAGTGCTATTTTTATTTTTATAATTTTCGACTTATGAGTTTGAATGTCCCTTTGGCATCCTTCGCATCTTGTTTCTTCTCCTCGGGTGCTTTGTAGTCAGTTCATCGTTGTTAAAATAGTTCATCACATACCGTTCTGAAATTGATAAATCAAGAAGTTATAAAGAATGTAAAGTTTCAAATCCTCAGACAAGTGTTGACCTTTGTTGGATTTGTTTAGATTTCCTTTTAAGAATCCTTTAATCATATAGCTAATCAACTATTAAGTATTTATACAGCTTTGACCTTAAAAATATATGTGTTTGGATGTTCCTGATCAAGATAACTACAGAAAAACGTTTTTTGATGCATCAAATTTGAAAAGTAATAACTTCCAATTTTTTTTTCTGTTAAATTACAGATATATTTATTTCAACCTCGGAAAAATTAGTTAACTAACATTTACTATCAAATTATTTTTTGCATTTGTTGTTATCATAATCTTAAGAATTTGGGTTTTGAAAATAAATATAGTATTGGAAAATTACTTTTCAAGTTCTGTTTATGTATAATGGGGTTTAGGTTTTTAATGTCAAGGGCTTAACTATAAAATGTAGTTAAACATTCCAGAGTACGTTAGTTTTTCTTAGATTTAATTTAATTTAATTTGTTTTGAAAATAAATGTAGAACAGCGGGGGGGATATTTAAATTCAAAACCGAAATCTGCTTAGAACCATACATTTTGATATTTAGCAGGTTGATCAAAGAATTACATGTTTATTAAGGGAGATTCAAAAGTGAGAATCAAAATCACACGTTAAAGAGAAATTGATAAAATCATAGCAAAAAACGAAAACATCGAAACGACAAAATAGTCTACAACACACTACATAAAAACTACTGAATGAGTAACACGAACCCCACCAAAACCGTGACTAAACTCGTGTGCTTCGGAAAGGTTAACATATCCTACTTCACATGTGACACCCATCGTGTTACTCTTATGTAATTCTTTTATAAGTTATATCAAGTGATTAGGCATTACGCAATAGTGGTTTGGTAATTGACTCTTAGCTTACCCTTAGATATCAACAAATTTGTAATCCATGGGTCATGTAAATTTCATAACCGTAACTCTTACTTCGTGTTATATTTTGAAATTGAAACACGATAAGACAAGGTATAAACAAGACTGTTACCGGTAGAAACAACAAAGACATTGAAAAATAAAAAATAAGCACATAGTACAACACTTAAACTAAAGCGAAAGCAGAAAAATAAAAGTTTCCCAGTGAGACAGAGAGATGGAAATATACACCAAGAGTTGAGAAAATTAGAACGATCTTTGGAACTTGTCCCCGGGATGATTATCATTTAATATCCAATGTAAAACTGAAAGATTTAAGGGATAATTTATATATCCGTGTTATATCAAATATTCTTACGTAAAAACGGTGTACGCTATGCTAAACAAAATTATGTCAAGTTGTTGTCTTAAGCTATCAACCTTTATCCAAAAAGAAGAAAAGATGTTAATTTGAGTTAACAAATGCAATATCTTATGTTAAGATATATGATAATATATTCGATTTTACTGCTTATATCATATAGTGTCTGCAGTTAAATATTTTGTAGATTTTGCTTCTGTTTCCCTGTCTTCTGCGGCTGACTTCATTTCAAATAAAAGGGAGGCAAAAGATACCAAACGGATACTTCAACTCATAAGTCGAAAATGAACTGGCAATGCCATGGCTAAAATAAAAATACGACCGGTGAGGACAGGAGTTGTAGTTTACGGCAATTGGAACATACCCGTCGTCATCTGTGAAACAGATATTCCATAATGGTCAACCAACTCGTGATGGTGTCAATAATATTTTCAATGGAATGATTTTAACATCCCTACTTGGCTTTGAAGATTCCTTGTAAGAAGCAACCACATGTTGAGCAGGACCTGTTAACCTTCTGTAGCACGTGAGATCAACGGTGTGTTTTGATTAGGTTCCTGTTGCTCTGTCTTTGGTTTTCTTTGTTGTGTTTTGTGTACTGTTGTATTTCTTTTCGTCGATTTTCGATTTTTGCAATGGCATTGTCAGTTTGTTTTCGACTTATGAGTTTGGATATCCCTTTGGTAGCTTTTGCTTATCTTTTAATATCGAGGAAATCATGATAGACAATGCATGCTCTGGAATATCGTATCAACTGGGAGATATGTACTCCTTATGCAAATTTTACTGGATTGCTACTTCATAGAAATGGAAAGTTAACGATGTGGAAGCTAAAAACAAATCTTTTGTCGTATAGTTTTGTTCTCAACCGACCATCGTTCTCAATTTCTATATGTAAGTAAAGATATTAGGCAGACTTAACTTTTTTATCCTGTATTGCAAGTTCGATGGATAGATGCGTTCAATATAGTCACCAAACTTTTAATTGTTTAGCGAAAGGACATTATCTACTTAGTATATAGCTATATAAAGTCTGACTTATATGAATAAAAGAATAAATCTGCAAGAAGAAGATCACAGTTGGTTCCCATTGGAATGCCGATTGTTTATTTTACTGAAACCATTTCATTTTAGATATATCTTAGTTTTAAGTACTTTTCTCAATTTCGACAAAAAAATAAATTTAAACCCTAATCTTAAGTTAATAATCTCATGATAAATTTCATGCGCATAATGACGAAATTGGCAAAAGACTGAAAGAAATGTATTTTAATCGGAAAGCACGCGTACAAGAGATCATCAAAAGAAAAGAACGGTCAGCTAAAATCCGGCAGTTTAATGAAAAATGTATAAATGCAAAAAAATATAATGAAAGGGTTTTGGAATTTCCTTAAAATAAAACGAACCGATACAGGACCTATAGAGCTTTATGATCCACATGATTCTAATAAAATATAAACGGCTACGGATGAGATAAATAATGCCCTTTCCCAGCATTTAAGCTCCATAGGTTCCTTTCAAAATGAAAATGGTGAACCTGATATCAGTAAAAAATGAAGTCAGGTTACAGAAGTTCACGCAGATGTCAGTACCTCGCTGTCGCTTGCCTCCGTTGTAAAAGGGTAGTTTCACAATAATATATATATATATATTAGTTTCTGTAGAATTTTCTTTTTTCTTCACTAATATCATACATTAATAATAATACAAAAGGAATTAGTCACTGAAATAAGGTTGATAAACTGAAACTCGAGTGTAGCACGGGTGTCACTATTGAAGCATGAACATTTGCATCATCCAAAGCATCTCAGAACATCTACCGGTATTTGGTGGGGTGAAATTTACAAAAGAATGCAATATTGTTTTTTTTTGCATATTTCAAGGAAATTTGTAGTAATCTGCCTGATATCAGTACAAAACGAAGTCGGGTTGTAGAAGTTCACAACAAAAACCCATTCGAATAAAGACTGTTTGTTGAAATATTTATCAACCAAATGGAATTAATTTGTATTTTTACAGCACTGTGTCTATACTATTGCTGGTGGACTATCAGTCTCCGAAGGTATTATCAGCTCAATTGTTAGTACATTTGTACTGACATATTTATAACAAAACTGTCTAAATTTTTTTGTTTATGAATTTAGAAAATTATTAAGAAACTAAAGTTTCAATTCCCTCATGCAAAGTTGACCTTAGAAGGATTTGGCAATGTTTTATTGCATGGTCCTTTTTGGTCATATGGCTCTTCAACTGTTTAGGTTCTTATACAGCCTTGGTATTCAAGTATTCCGCTTGGAGAGTTTCTGATACTGGTAAATAAAGAGAATCGCTTTGGACGCAGGCAATTTATAACGTGTTTAAATTTTTTACAGCATTGAGTCGATCACGCTGTTGGTGGGCTATCAGTCCCCGAGGGTATCATTAACTCAGTCGTCATTACTTTGGTACTGACATGATTTATAACAAAGTTTTCTAAAATTGTCCGTTCATAAATTTAGGAATTAAATAATTTAAGTAGTAGCTCCCTCAGGCAAAGTTAACCTTAGATGAATTTGGCTATTATTTAAGGTCCTTTATGGTCAAATGAATCTTCAACTGTTCTTGTACATCCTAGTCTTTCAAATATACGCGTTTGAGCGTCCCTGATGAAGGTAAATCCAGAAAATCGCCTCGGACGTATGAACATAAAGTTTTTTGTTTATTTATATCAATTTGTCTATTATTAATGACCGTATAGTCTTTTGGTTCCATTATGTTTAAATATTTTGTCTCATTGAAATGTACTGCACATATCCTACAATCTAAAAATTTAAATAAGAATAAAGATTAGACATTTTTATTCAAATTAGTATACGATATAACATTTCATTAAAAAAAAATGTGTGAAAATACATAAAAGAAAAAAAAATATCATAAAAGGAGATAATTCCATTCTCTTTGAAAACTTCTACTTCAAAATGAGGATTTCGATTGATTCTAAAGTATAGTAATGCAGTATGTTTACAAGCGGCACCTGTTTTTATTTTCCTAATTGCTATCTACAGTTTTAAACATAATCGTTTTCGGAACTAGTTTGTTGGGAACGTGGAAGTGATGTCATAATTGTTGACTGCGATTTTTGAGCAGTCAGTTCAATTATCTTAGATTTGTACATCCGATATATACGTTCATTGAAAATATAAGCTATAAAAATGTAAAGTCCTTGAAATCCATTTAAAGCGGCTATCGCTATTGATATTGGTGTTTTATTGACGAAATAATTAATAAGCAACAAAATCCAGGAACAACCAGTTGTTGTAAAAAGTTTAATAAAGATGCTTATTTCTTTTTTATTTGTTTTAGAAACTGCAGATATAGCCGACTTCGAATAAATTTTTTTGTATAGTTTGTACGTCGTTATTGAATATAATATCATGTTTATGATAAAGGTTATAACTAGTGGTACTAAAACTGTGGCAATAAAGCTCTGAACATTTGAAATAAAGCATTTGTTATTATAACCATACCCAGTAAAGGTTCCTGTGTTAATGCGCAGAACGATAATGTTTATGACTACTATTGCAGCTGCAGAGCCATATGCGGAAGCGGTATATATCTTAAAAGTATAATTACTCTGATTAGCTTTTAGTGTCGACGAAAGACTGTCATGGCCAAATATTCTAAACATATGAACTGTACCCATGGTAAAACATGCAAAGGTAGATAGCAGAAAGAAATGAATAACTGTACCGATAACCTGACACACTGTTGTATCGGTGTCATCGACGATTATCAATATCAAATAAAGTATATTGTAAACAAGAAGAGAAAACACTAAGCTCATTATATTCTTTCCTGGTAGAGTTTTAAGTGAAGAAAATAAACAGTACGTTATTAATGTCGCCAAAAGACACAGTACTGAAATAACAGTGCATGTTATCATTATTGCCAAATATACAACGTCGTTTTTGTCATCTAAGTTCACAATACGATTAAAATCCTCAATGCATATTCTTAAGTTTTTCTCAGAGTCGATATGATATTCATAAAACCTAAACTTTGCATCGTAGTCGTCTAAAATTATCTCATTGTCTTTTGTGGATAATCTATACTCACGTTGTGTAAATAAAACATGTCGACACACTAACAAATTAGATATTAGAGATCGATTCCTTTTTACACAAGCAGAAGTATTTTCAAACTCTGTATTTTCATTAGTTAAAATTGACTGATAATCGTATTTTACAGTTATATTCATTTTGTCCGAACTTTTAAATAGACGAGAAGAATAATCTATTAGTCTCTGTTCTATATCTACAATAAATGTATTACTCAATATCAGAATATCAATTTGAACAAAGTAGGAACTCGATTTGGTTTTTGGTTTAATACAGATCGAAGTTGAAATAGAAAACATTTCATTTAAATCATTCTGTAAATTCTGCGTTATTTTTGAATGGATATCGCTTGATGTTAGCCCGAACGGAAAAACATATGACAGTGGTGGAGAATATAACGATGTTGGTAAATTCTGTTCACAACTATCTCCTGTCAATTGTTTTCCTAGGAAACAGTCAGTTTGGCGACATCTTTGCTGAAATAAAAAGAAGTTTATTGGGACAGTACCACACTCTCTGCAATAACTCTTTAATAGACCAAAACCTGAATATTTACGAAACCTACTTGACTTTGAATATCAAAATGGTAATATATCATACTAGTAAGAGTTTAACTTATTTAACAAATATCCATTTAAACAAAATGTTATTCAGTTTTAACCATTGCTTTTGTAGGACACGTTGAAACACATTATTTCTTTAGTAAAATGTTGCATCGCAGAACAGCCGCGAACAGAATGAATTTATTCGTATCTGAAAGACAAATAAAGCTTTACGTCTAAAAGAATGTCTGATTAGGTTTGCAACGGCCTTCTTATTGAAATCGTTTTGGGATAAATATTCCTAATTGGACAAATTCTATCCAAAAATATTGAAGCCAAATTAGTTTTACATTCTATAGTTAAAATAAAAGTAAATGATACATTTTCCAACACGAATACTATTAGTTACATAGTATGTTATTGACCTAATACGATATATATGGGGTTAGTAAACCCCATATGAAATTTACTGACCCCATATATTATAAGTTATCTACGTTCATATCCGTAGATATGGGTATTTTAACACCCTGAAGTACCTCAGTACGCCCTGAGGCGCAGCCGAAGGGTGTACAGGGTACTGAAGGGTGTTAAAATACCCATATCTACGGATATGAACGTAGATAACGAATTTATCCCCGGTCTTAGTCCGAATCGGGCGATTTTTAGGGAAATTCGGGTACAAAGTGTAACGTGAAAACAACGTTTTTTTCATTATCTAAAAAAGTTTGATTGAAATTTGGAAATTTGACATAATTCTTACGGGGTGTAGGGTACTACCTTTGGTAGAACCATACAGGTAGTCAAATATAAGACGTTTTTAATCCAGAGACAGAGAAACTGAATAAATTCATATTTGGCGGTTAATGTCGCGAGCGTTACGTCATAGACGATGTGACGTCAACTTGGGTCATTTGCATAACTAGGTCAATAGTGCCTTTCATTGACGACGTGGTGGCCAAGTGATGCATTTACTAAAATCAATGTCAATGATCGGAATAATAGGATAAAATCGTTAGAGGATTACATATTTAATTACAGATATTCATGGATAATCAACAGAGTTTAATTTTTTTCACTGGAACAACACGAAATTAAGGAAAATAGACTGTTATTGTTCTGAATGGCTAAAAAAACGTGGATCAACTCAATATTCATTACATACGGACGTGAAAGTTATTTATTTGTTGTTCATGTTTATGTTGATGGATCCAATGTAACAACCATGGAATACTGGCATTTGTGGAACAGTGTCATAGTTGCTGAACAACTCATTAAAGTTTATACCAGAGAGTTGATTTCTAAACTCTGTCATTTGCGTTACTTGTGAAGTGGACGCCACCATTGTTGAGGATCTAGCCGGAGTGGGAAGTGCCAACGGTTGAACAGGTGAAGGTAATGTTAGTTGTTGATTTGGGGCAGGCAAGGCATTTGCATCAGGATCTCTTCCATTCATTGCAGCATCAATCATTTGTCCCATTTGAAATTTTGCCTTGTCGGAAGTTCTTTGATATATTGCCAAACTCGAGACACTTTTGTGGCCAGTGACAGACATGATTTGAGCATCAGCAAAGTACCTGCTTTCTGTTAGAATAGTTGCACCGGTCGCTCGGATTGAATGGTTAGTGTAAACTTGTGATAACGAACAAAGTTTACTTAACTTATTCATAAATTGAGCCAAAGTGTCACGACCAACTGGAGAATTACAATACCAAGTAGCAGAATCTTCATAAAAGGATCCCAGTGGTCTTTGCCATAACCTGTTGCATTTAGGATGCAATTTTGAAATGTATTTCTGAAAAGCTGCCACTGGACAAGACGGACTATCAGGTTGCTCTGGCATAATTGCAGTGACATTTTCCTTGTCATTGAAGCGGTGATTCTTGGTAAGTTCGTCCATTTCTTTTGTAACGTACTTTGTTTTTGTTTTTGGATCTGTTTTGACGATAAAAGTGTCTTTTGTCATCTTATCCATATTTTCAGCCCCTCGTCTAAAGAAGTACATTCTTATGTCAAATTGTACTTTATTTAATAAACCAGTAGGGGAGCTTGGTTGCATGAAAGTTGAAGAGTACAATTTTGTCCTGTCAATTTCTGATATTATTGGAAAGTGCTGTGTTGCTCCTTTTCCGTTGGCTTTTAATTCTGTAAGGGCTGTTTTAAATACTTGATTTGATTCATTAAAGTCTTCATGCTTCATTATGTCAAATTCCTTTAAAAAGGGGGGAGCCTTAAGATATCTATTCAGAGAGTACCGGAATGAATCAAGCGAATTGACTTTATACATTTCTCCATCAGGTTTACGGGCGTCAAGATAAAAATGTTTCAGAACATCATTTAGCCGACTAGGAATATACTGTTCAAAGTGTGTGTCTTCATTTTTCTCAGAGAGATATTCTCGTAGCAAATTACCAGCCCTTTTGTTTGCTTTTTCTGTTGATGACGCAATGTTTTTAGATCTTTTGTCAAGAATTTCATTCTCCGTGTGGGAAGCAAAACGCTTTGCCATTTTCAATATGGACGCCGTCAGCGTATAAACGCGCGTGACGTCCCCCGGGTAAATGGATAGCAACGTCCGGGGATATGGGTTAGCAACACCCAGGGGCTATGGGTTTTTGTAACGACGTGCGTTAACCAATCAAAATCCTAGAAATATACTAAGCCGGGGATAAATCGTATTATGTCACTAGCACACTGTGTAACGAATTTATCTTACCGACTATCTTAATGTGGCATTTAGACTAGTGGCATATCAAAGAGATCAAGTCTACATACTTCCATTGGTCTATGCAAAATCAAATGCCAACAATTCATCATTAATTTCTTTGTCTATTGATACCTTTCAGATTTTTCCTCAACACCGTGTTTTTTTTACAAAAGGACGTAACACTACTACTAACCGTGTATTGAAATAAACCACGTCCACTTCCACTTGTAATTGTAGTATTTGTATTTTTATCCATCTGATGAGTTAAGCCTCTTTCAACTGATTTTTATAGTTCGTTCTTATGTTGTACTGTTACACCCACTGTCCCAGGTTAGAGGGAGGGTTGGTATCCCGCTAACATGTTTAACCCCGCCACATTCTGTATGTATGTGTCTGTCCCAAGTCAGGAGCCTGTATTTCAGTGGTTGTCGTTTGTTTATGTGTTACATCTTTGTTTTTCGTTTATTTTTGTACATAAATTAGGCCGTTAGTTTTCTCGTTTGAATTGTTTTACATTGTCATTTCGGGGCCTTTTGTAGCTGACTGTGCGGTATTGGCTTTGCTCATTGTTGAAGGCCGTACGGTGACTTATAGTTGTTAATTTCTGTGTCATTTGGTGTCTTGTGGAGAGTTGTCTCATTGGCAATCATACCACATCTTCTTTTTTATATATACACGCCTACTAACCCCATATGAAATATACACGGTCTCCACGCGGTTGCTTTTAACCGATCATATTCCTAGAAATGTAAAGGAGGTAAGATAAAATCTAGTATACGAAATGCAATACAAAGTTAAGGATCATTTGTGTGTGGAATTTATCCGCAGCTCTATCAATCTAGAAAAATAAATCGTAGCTGTAAATGCTTGTAGAAGTGACGTTGATTTGTTTAGTCCAACATTTTACCTGCCTTATTCGACGTCACTTTTCATATCAGGTATTGACGATTCCTCCGGTTTTGCCTCATAAAATAAATGTATCATAATAAAGTTCTTGACGTTGTTATGATATTATTTATAAAAAGAAGTCATCCGCATCTTATGACATTTTTTGTTGTTGATTTCTCTCCATTTTTGCTTTTATGCCTTTATATCATGCATATCATTATCTTGAGTCACCCTTAGTTCGACCCCATGGGTTGTTTTGACTTTATTTGAAAGTCACGTCCTTAAAGTCATTGTTGAAGATCTTGCAGCTATTCAAAAGATACTTAAGTTCCATAATGGCACTGTTCCTAACGGATTTGTTATTCCGAAGTAATTTATTTACCTTCATTCTATATCACTTTTCTCAAAACTTATGTGTACGTTCTAATGTTTAATCAATTACTTGAAATGTTGACTTTATATGGATTTAAAACATAAGTTTAAGGCTGTCATACGTTTTTTTTATCTGTTCTAAGTCAGAAACATGGACTGTAGTTGTTTCTTTTTACCATTACTGTTGATTGCAGAGCTCTTTGATAGCTTCTGTTGAGTTTATTCACAACCTTTTTCGGTAAGGTAGATTAAATCCTGACATATTTTATAGATACCTGCCTGAATATATGTTGACCTCTAAATATTTTTTGGATATTGTGTCTTTGGGTTGCTATACCCAACATCTCTATTTATTGACATTCCCAATTTGATATTGAGTAAAATTTTAATATGACTTGGTGATATAAAATGAATTTCATAACAGTGTGGACATGGACACCTGATATTTAAATGATATCGCGTCGGTCACTGGCTGTCGACAACAAAGACTTCACGCATTTACTCATACCCATTCTTTCAAAAGAAACTTTTTGTTGTGAGTATATAGATATATTCAAAACATATTCCTATAAACTTTCATGCAAAAACTTTTATTTTATGAATGGACATGTGTATATATATTAAATATGTGTATCCCCATTGAGAGGCCCTTGACATACTGTGATTGCGTGAAGTCTTTGTTGTCTTGTACCAAGTCAAGAATATGGCAGTTGTTATCCAAAAAAAAGTAAAATAACAAAAATAACGCACTCCGAGGAAAATTCTAAACGGAAAGACCCTAAGCAAACGGCAAAATCAAAAGCTCAAACACATCAAACGAATGGATAACAACTGTCATATTCCCGACTTGGTACAGGCAATTTCTTATGTAGAAAATGGTCGATTAAACCTGGTTTAATACTAGTAGTCCGTTTCTATGTATGTTGGCGTTTGTTTTTGTAGCAGTTCAGTGTTTATGTTGTTCCGTTGTTTTCCTCTTATAGTTGATGTGTTTCCCTCGGTTTTGGTTTGTTACCCGGATTTGTCTCAGTTAAATCGATTTATGACTATTGAACAGCGGTATACTACTGTTGCCTTTATCTGTCGCCAGCAAGTGATACATACGATAACATTTAATTACCATAAGTTCATGTCCACACTGTTATGAAATTCATCTGTACAATGAAGTGTGACATTTTTCAAATGAACATAATCACAAGAAATAATTTACCTTTAGAGAATCATAAATCTCGTTCAGTTTACAGTTAGGAGTGAAGTATTTGCGACTAAATATATCCCAAGTACCACCACCAGGTGAATAGGTCCAAACCTCAGAACAGCAATTACATAAGATGTACTGTAAAGGGTATAATTTGCGATCATCCATGCAGTTAAATAAATCACAAGCTAAATTTTCCTTAACATACTGCTCTATATCTAATTGTATGCCATCATCATAAACTAAAAAATCTTTCAGATGGGTTCCACATACTGTATAATGGTAATATAGTTTTTCACTTTGAATAATTATCCCGCGTGACTGGGTTTCACAAGCCCATTGTAAGTCAAACTCACTATCGGCTTCACAATATGTTAAATTCCTTCTGTCCTTTTTGCACAAGGTAATTTTTCTATATTGATCATCATTTCCAGTCAAATTGCAATGATAGGACTGAACTTGAGATAACAGTCGATTTGACATATTGTGATTCAATAAGTTAAACGGAATGGGAACTTTACAATCAATTTTGTACTTCAGTTTTCTGTATAGGTTCTTGCAATTTTTTGTGACGTCTGTGGATCTAATCCCACTTTCATGAACATACCCCCACTCATGAGCCACAGGTTCTTTTTCATTGTACCAGTTATACGTAAACACATCTTCTATGGGTATATCCACTGTGTACAAGTTTTTATTTCTCATTATCACGCTTTCATTTGTATTACATATGTAGCAATATATATTTTTGTAAGGAAAGGTCGTTTCAACATAAACGTTTTCATTACATGCCTTTTCTATATCCCTAGCGTATGTTGTCCAAAGTCCAGTTTCATTACATGAAGTGATCATTCGCGCACTTGTCTTTTCGGGAGGATTGCACATGTGACAAAAGATACTTTTGTATGGCGGGAAAGGGTTATTCAGTGTTTGACATGCAAAGTCAATATCTTTGTTATAACTATCCAACGTCCCTGTAACGTTGCAAGTTTCAATAAACTGATGACCACTACATTTTTTCACATTATTGCGTATTTTATTACTTGGAAAAAACGATATTATACAATTGTTCTTGAGTGCTTTTTCGACAATGTCGTTTACAGTGGAAAATATGTCATATTTTATGTCACATGGTATATCTATCTTCCAGGGGATAAACTCTTTAATATCGTTACACATAGCGCAAAACTGATTTTTAAACGACGTATATGTCCGATCAGTTACTGGAGGATATCTTATTGAATCGTAAATATCACGTGGCTTAGTACATTCGTAGGACAAATCAGATCCGTAGGGGCATGTATTGACCATTTCATATTCATATCCAAAAGATGACATATTATTTGGTAAATGAACAATTGCTTTCAAACACTTCGTCTTTTTGTATTTCAATCCTTGCTGAGGACAACAGTTGTCGTCAATATAACAACTGTTATCGTTATAACATACCGGGCACATACTATATTCCTCTGCTATTTGTGGAAAGTACATTGTTTTCTTGTTTTCTGCGTAGTTAGGCCCGCATAGTGACGAATACTGATATATAATATTTGTTATGTTAACATTATCCAAAGTCAATCGAGACATTACAATTCTAGAAAGTAATACGAATTCTAGTAATGTCAATTGAAGATTCATCATTGACGGCCTTAGTCTGTTGATTATCATGCTCCTTCAAAAATATAACGGATAATTGGTAAAATAAGTATTATGAGTGAAAATGCGTGTTTAGTAAGTATAAGCGTTCCAATTTTGAATACATATATATACGCCTTATAAGTATTTTTTTTTTTTTTTTTGTATCAATTAACATATCCGACAACCGGATTACACTACAAAAAGGCTTCCGATGACATGTCTTCTAATCACAAGTCTTAGGATTTAATAAAACACGAAACATAATAAATTGTTCGCAGAAAAGTACTAAAATCCGATATGGGTTTTCCTCATTGTTGAAGGCCGTACGGTGTCCTATTATTGCTTATATGCATTTCATTTGAACTATGGTGGATAGTTGTCTCTCAGCAATCATACCCCATCTCCTTATTTTAATATTGAAATCTGAATTTGAAATGTTTGATTTATTACCAGGAAAGCTTACTACGTGATTTAATTGTACTTGCATTTAGTGAATTTTCCCTGTCACATTTACGTCTTCCACATAAAAACAAATTTATCTTATATAATTTTAATATTATTGTGTATTTTTCAGTACCAACTTGTGTCACTTTCGTTGTGTTTATCACAATATAGTGAATATGTTACAGTAATAAAAATCGTTTTTAAACATATATATATTTGATTTATATGATGAAAATAGTGTTACGGTTAAACGTACATATATAACAAAAAGTTAAATGATTATGCATAAACAAAAAATATATAATATATCTGAATATACTCGTATTTAAACACGAAATTTGTAACAATATCAATATATTTTTAAGCTCGTACACTAGAATGGGTCATATTAATAAATGTTCCCTATCCTTTTTAGCTCACCTGGCTCACAGGGACAGTATGAACTTTTAATATCACTTGGCGTCCGTCGGCTGTCGTCCATCGTAGTGGTTCGTTAACTTTTACAAAAATCTTCTCTTCTGCAACTTCTGCGTCAAATGGAACAAAAGTGGGTCACAATCATCCTCATGGTATCTAGTTTTGAAAAAATGTATCCCTGATCCAGTTAGACGGCTCATTATAGGAGTTATTGTCCTTAAAAGACGAGTTTTACCATTGTTTTGCCATTTATTTATAAGCTATTATCTTAAGTGTATTAGATAGATTGAAACTGTTAACAGCAAACGTGATCAACAGAACAAGATCTACAAATAAAACAACATAGCCGAAATGGTCATTCGACTCCGTATAGGCTTTATTGCACTATCTTACCACATCAATATCTTAAGTTTGAGTAAGTGTGTGAAAATTATTATGCATATGAAATTACACAGCTTCTTAATATTCCAACAAGTAATTTTTTTAATTTTTTTTGAATAAGCTTGCACTTGAGGTTGATTTTTTCTAGGATATTGGTAAGTTATTCCATAAGATAGATCCTGAATATATAAAAGATTTCACAACAGCTCTGTTTTGGCTTTTGGAACTTGTAAATTTTTGCAAGACGCATTCCTCAAACAATATTGGTTTATTTCTGGCATTTCTTCAAATTTTTCAGTGAGATATACAGGGGCTTCGTTCTTAAGGCATTTCTGCATCAAAACAGATTTGTGGTATGAGATTCTGTTCTCTACTGTCATCCACCCAAGCTTTTTAAACAGTGGAGCTGATGATGAAAGTGGATCAGCATCTAAAATAAGTCTTGCAGCCCTTTTCTGCAATTTAATTATTCTGACAAGCTCATTTTTAGCACAATCACTCCAAATAATACAACAATAACCTATCAGTGGGAGAATATAACCATTATAAAATAATTTTCTTGAATCAATATTTAGAAATTTCTTGATTTTAGAGAGTAAATGAAGTCTAGATGATATTGATGAACATAAGTAATTAACATGGCCTGTCCAGGATAGATTAGAGTCAATTCTAACACCTAAAAGTTTTTCAATTGATGATTTTTGAAGAATATTATTCTGAATAGTTAGAACTGGTTCTGCTTGATTTAAACGCAGCCTTTGTCTAGTACCTATAACCATACATTTCGTCTTATCAAAAATGACCAGCAGGACAAGATCTACTATTTGCCTAAATTTTCAGTTGACTGCTTACCGGTGTTTTTGCTCTTGAATAACGAATTTTTATCATTTTGTGTTTTTAGTTTGAAAGGAGAGGGGGTTGCAATAACAAAGTAGATTTTAGAAGAAAGAGAGGCGAAATATACCAAAGGGATAGTCAAACTCATAAGACGAAAACAAACTGACAATGCCATGGCAAAAATCGAAAAACAACAAAACGACAAACAACAATACACAAAGCACAACATAGAAAACTAAAGACTGAGCAAAACGAACCCCACTAAAAAACGGGGGTGATCTCAGGTGCTCCGCAAGGGTAAGCAGTCCTGCTCCACATGTGGCATCCGTCGTGTTGCTCATGTAAGTACGCATCCGGTAATAAGTTTAATTAGGTAGGTTACATTCGAGAAAAAGAGGACGGGATTCTAGTTACGATAATTGGAACATATCCCTCGTCATCAGTATTCTGTTGAACCGATATTCTGTAATGGTCAACCAACTCGTAATGGCGTCCATATAATTTTGGAAGGGATGATTTCAACTTCATAACTTGGAACTTGTGGCTTATATCATCCTTGTATGCAGCAACCTTCTATCAAGAAAACCATGAAAGCAAACGCAAGCACTGGAATATCGTATCGACTGGAAGATATCTACTCCATATGCAGGGCTTGCTAGAATGTTGCTACGTAGAAATGGACAGTTCACAATTATAAAGCTGACATCATCTCTTTGTCGTAAAGTTTTGTTCTGAACCGACCCTCATTGTCAATTTCTAGATGTAAGTCAAAATTTGAGGCAGCCTTAACTGTATCTGTTGTATCCTTTCTTTCAAGTTCGATGGGGTAGATGCGTTCAACATAGTCACCGAAGTTTGAAACTTTTTTAGTGAGAAGACTTCTATATTCCGGAACATGCAATTAGCAAACATTTTCAGCAGGACAAGATCTACAAATCAGTCAACATGCCTCAAATCGTTAGACGACTCCCTATGAGGTTTTTTTCCTTGAATGATGCTATTACATTTTTTTTTTTGGCGTTTTTGCGGGAAACTCTAGGAAATATTATCATGCATTGTAACAATATTATGCTAAATTGATAGGTGAGCGATACGGGTTACTTGGAGCTTCTAGTTTAATTTTCCTCATTATTCAACTAACATCCACAGTCAACTGTTGTACTTATCTATACTACTAAAATAACAAGGTCCAATTTGTTAGCCGGCATGACTTAAAAACGACGAATCAAAGAATTCAACTTTATATATAACTAATATAGGACAATGATATCGATTAAAAATTTCACTGTTCCAGTCCCTTTTGATTTCTACAATTACCAATAATTTACAAGTTCCGAGTCGCGGGTGTGCTCTAGTAGTATTGTATTATTCAGAAATGATCAATGTATGGGAATGTGCAGGATGAACGTTATATGCTATTCCTCGGCCTTTTTATATACATTGTTCACATTTTTTTAAATGCTCAAAAATTCTTTTTCACTTTATATAAGATTAGTGTATATCTCTTTACACTTTAATGGTTTTATTAGCGCTCAAATATTTTCGTAAGTTTTTTTTTTTAATTTTAAAACATGTTGGCCTCGCGAGCATCATTGCTTGTCAAAATACATATCTAGTGCAGCACTGTTTGTACTGTTAGTGTTATTTATATCACATTGGAAAGATGTATTCAGTAGATGCTGGATTTTTTTTTTGTCAAATCTATCTGACAAATGACATTAACAAGATGTACACAAGAGCAACCGAGTTTCCGGACGTAATTTATACCTTTCAACCTGATATTTATATATAAATTTTAAAATAGTTAATTATGGATTCATGGTCCAGATTGTTTTACTGTCTCGTGTAAATGGCCTCATGGATATCTAGTGATCAGCAACAAAAACGTTCCGTTTCCATAGACGACGTAGAAACAGTGAAAAAAGGACAAAACCACAATGTTGGAGGATGCAATAAATAGCTTTATCGAATTTTAATTTCTTCTTATCAGAAACGACTTCCTGTAAGCGCATATACGTTCTAAGATTCATAAGAAACTTTAGAAAAGACCAGCAAAGAGGAAAGTAAACCGTATCGGCAATTCAGAATGTCTACAATATAAAAAATATAAAGATGTGGTATGATTACCAATGAGACAACTCTCCACAAGAGACCAAATGACACAGAAATTAACAATCATGAGTCACCGTACGGCCTTCAACAATGAGCAAAACCCATACCGCATAGTCAGCTATAAAAGGACCCAAAATGACAAATGTAAAACAATTCAAACGAGAAAACTAACGGCCTAATTTATGTACAAAATAATGAACGAAAAACAAATAGGATACACAGAAACAAACGGCAACCACTGAATTACAGGCTCCTGACTTGGGACAGGCACATACAGAATGTGGCGGGGTTTAACATGTAAGCGGGCGCCCAACCCTCCCCTAACCTGCGACAGTGGTGTTACAGTACGACATAAGAACAAACTATAAAAATCAGTTGAAAAAGGCTTAACTCATCAGATGGATATAAATAGAAATACTTCTAACAAAAACACACAGTGGACGTGGCATGGTTCTTATACATTCCCACAACAAAAAGACACTAAGTACAGATCTGAGATTACTCGCTGTTACTGACAGCTAGTTCAAAGCCAAAAACAAAAACAAACAAAAAATCATGCATCTAAGACTAAAATATAATCAGTACACATCCAACATCCAAAAGATTTAGTGTAAAGACGTCATTAACAATCAGAGAATACATGACCTTGTGCAATGCCAAGATACAGGTATCGACAGATTGTAGAGCCATGAATGTGCATATGTATATAAAAATAATATTAAGTTTGATTTTGATTTACTGATAACAAAATCAATATTAATACCAATAAAAACAATATTCAAAGATCTAATTTCAGTGTTGAATTGGTAGCCTTTTAGAATAAGTTTATTTAAAGGCTCGATAAGTTTATCCGGATCGTATCTAAATGTCATTCATTCAAAATGAGGCAGGGTGGATTTTGAGTCATTCACGTAGTCTAC